TTCAGATATAAGCAAAATGAAAACATATTTTTCCCTCCTTTTCTCACTATTATCGTACGTTATGCTTTTTTTCATTTAACAATACATTTTGAAGATGTTACTTATTTTAGAGAGAGTGCAAGTGGAGGGAGGGGTAGAGGGGGAGGGAGAGGGAGAGGGAGAGAGAATCTTGAACAGACTCTGAGCTGAGGGTGGAGTCAGAGGCCAGGCTCAATCACCACCCTTAGATCATGACCAGGGCTGAAACCAAGAGTCTGATGCTTAACCAACTGAGCCACCCAGGTGCCCCAGTAATATATTTTGGGTAACTTTCCTATACATACATAAATATGTATGTTTTCAATCTTACTTATAACTGTATCCTGTTGTGGGATGTATCTGTCCCAGACTGATGGACACTTCATTTGTTTTCAGTCTTTTGCTATTACAAATGATGCTGTTGTGAGTAACCATGCACATATATCATATACAAGAAGGTATAACTGTATGATAGATTTATAGACCCATAGTTGTTTAATGCTTTTTATATTTAACTATTTAAATAGATAAAATGGCTTTTTTAAATGTGGCTTCTCTATTCCTGAGAAAGATTTGTTTATATCCTTGTTTATAATGTAGCTTCTCTCTGATCTTACCCAATTTCATGGTCAAGCACTATCTTGAAGAAGAGCTCATTGGGGGGTTGTATCCTTTGAATTATTTCATGTTTGAGGTTATCTGCCTATTACCTTAATAAATAATATTTTGGGGTCACACTTTCTATCCCATAGGACTTTATAGATATCGGTCTATTATTTGCTGGCTTTAAATGTTATTGTAAAGAAATCTGAGGCCAACTTTAACTTTCCCCTTTATAGGTGATTTGCTCTTTTGAGAGGGGAGGGAGAATTCATATGTCCAAAGATTTCTTTATCTTTAAAGTTTTATAGCTCAGTTTGGATGTGTCTTAATGCTAAACTTTCTGTGTCAGTTTTTTTCCTGGTACACACTATGCTCTTTCAATGTGCAACTTCAATTATTCATCTTAAGGAAAATCTCTGAAACCATCAAATTTATCTTCCTTCTGTTTTTGAACTCTCTACGTCAGAGGCACCAATTATCCTTACGTTAGCTGATCTGAATATCTTCCATACCTAATAGCTGCCCTATAATGTCATAATCTTAATTTTTATCTGCATTAACTGCTTGTTTCAGTTATTCTCTCTATGAAGATAATTCACCTTTCAGCTCTATCAATTCTGCCTCTTACCATTTCTATATATTATTGGGTGTTGCTTTGATACTCAATTTGTTCACTTACAGGAATTCACTCCCATTCACCTCACTCTTTCATTACAGCATTAAACAACTATGGGTCTATAAATCTATCATACAGTTACACCTTCTTGTATATGAAATGATTTATGTGCATGGTTACTCACAACAGCATCATTTGTAATAGCAAAAGACTGAAAACAAATGAAGTGTCCATCAGTTCACTCCCATTCACCTCACTCTTTCATTACAACATTTCATCCATGAGCTCTGGTTATATGGAATTCTCACTCTTATTGATTCTCAGCAAAGACCAGTTGGCAGGGATTTCTCTCTGTTCCTTAAGTTATGTTTTCTTTGTATTTTGTCAACTATATTCCTTTCTAACTCTCCCTCCTTTAATTGAGGTAAAAGGTAACATAACATAAAATTTACCATTTTAACTATTTTTAAGTGTATACTTCAGTGACATTAAGTACATTCACATTTTTGTGCAACCATCACCACTATCCATTTCCAGAACATTTTTCATCTTGCAAAACTAAAACTCTAGAGCCATATTTTGCTCTGATATTATTCTTATGTTATTTTGCTGCAGTAATTTTGCATAGTGGTCATAGAGCTTATTTTTATCTTGCCTATTCTTTTTTTTTAAAGACTTTTTATTTTTAAGTAATCTCTACACCCAATGTAGGCCTTGAACTTACAAACCCAAGATCAAGAGTTGCATGCTCCATGGACTGAACCAGCCAGGCGCAACCCTCATCTTGCTCGTTTTTGAGCATCTCATCCATGACATTCTGTTTCCTTTAATAGCATTTGGGTAAATTAGGGCCTTTCTTCCCACCATGTCTGAGATCAGTTAAAAATTAAGAATCAGTACTGCAGAATAAATTATAACCATTTTAACAGTTTATGAGGCAAAACCAAAATTCAGGCACACATTTATACACATTTGTTAATCAATGTCGTCTGTTTTGTAATTCATATGTAATTCTTTAATCACAACTTATTTGTGAAAACCTAAAAACAATAAAAACTCTCAACAACACAATAATTAAGTAAATTATTATATAATGTTGATAGCGTATTCATAGCAGTGGTATAATGACACTTTGCACCTTTAATAGCACGGAGAAATGCTTATGATGCACAGGTAACAAAGGATTCCAAATTGTGTACTCTGTATGCTCCAGTTTTGTAAAACAATATTCATGCCAGGGAAATACATCAAAATTAACAATGGATAGGTTATCTCCAGGTGGGCGTTCGTGAAGGTTTCTATTATCTCTGGGTGGGTTGTAGAGGGAGGGGTGAATTCAGGATGCTCTACCCTCGGCAGAAGAGAAAAATGGAGTCGAAACCCGCTGGACGGGCAAGCAGCAGGTGCACTAAGGGCAAGGGGCAAGCACTGCCCGCTACTGAGGCCCCCCGAAGGGCTGCCCGGGGCGGGGAGGGAGGGGTGGCCCCGGAAAGCGACCTGCAGCACTCTGCAGTAAGCCTGGGACCCCTGGAACTGCAGCCGTGAGACTAGGACTCGGAGGCAGCACCAGACGAACCCAGGGGCGGAGGAGGCTACTTCCCGACCAGCAGCTAGTGGCAGTCGCAATCCGGGACCCTCCCCGGAAGTCACTGCAGAAAGTGGGCAGAACTGCGGGGCAGGAACGCATTCGGGCTTTAGGTACTAGTTTTCCAAATGAAACCTTTACTCTTTTTGCTTACTAGAATGTTAATTCACGGTAATTTAAAAGATAATTGGCGGCGGGGATGGGTGGGGGGTGGGGCGGTAGGGGGTGGGGGTAGATAACAGGACTCTAAGCAGCAGCTGTCACTCCAAAGAACTCACCGAAGACGGTAGAAAGGAAAATTGAACTTATGTGAACTGCCTTATCCCCCTCTTCTTGATTTTAACTCCACGTCTTTTCCCATGGAAATTCCCCCACACTAGAAGAGTAACCTTCCTTTAGTCCATTCTACAGGCTGGTCAGTGGCACGGTGAATAAACAACTCATGCTCTGCCGTATAGAAGCTCTTGAGTACACTTGAGGTGGAGCTGGAAACGGGAAGGGGAGCGGGGTATTTGTGGATGCCTGCTGGAGGGACCTGCTGGAGGGACCTGCTGGAGGGCCTGCTGGAGATGGAGAGAGATGGCATCTCTCCAAAAGCAAACCCTCGCTGGCAAACCTGAGTCCCTCTGGGGAACATCGGGTCCTCACAGCCTAGATTATCGTCAAAATCTCCTGTTGTAAGGGGGAAACAGGAATGTCCTGACACTCCAAACGTCTTAGGGGTTCTTGAAGCTCTCTTGAAGCTGCTGTGTGCCCTCCCCAACCCCTCACTTCTGAGAAAGTGGAGAGAGCTAAAATCCTTCCAGGGAGAGCCAGAACATGCCCTAGATAAGCAGTGGTTATAGAGCTGTTGCCAAGTTTCATAAACTTCCTGTTAAAAACAAAAACAAAAACAAACACCAAAAAACCAAAAAATAATGAATGGCACCTCTGGCAAATACAGAAAAACAAGAACACTTCTGTTAGTAAAAGCAATTAAAAACATCCAGAAGCCCATTACCCTCCCTTTTCTCTGAAATAAAAACCTCAATTCTCCTATTTAATTTTTTTTAATGTAGGCTCTGCACCCAGTGAGGAGCCCAAGGCCGGGCTTGAACTCAGGACCCTAAGGTCAAGATCTGAGTTGAGATCTAGAGTCACGGGCTCAACAGACTGAGCCATCCAGGTGTCTCAATTCTCCTCTTTAAACAATGTAATAGAAAAGCATGAATAACATTCCAAGCCATATTTGATAGAATTTTTCCTCCACATATCACTCTTTCCCAATCAGGAATCTCCTGGTTTATGATTTTTTTGTAATGTTTGCTTAAGAGGAAAGTGGTAATAATCTGGGGTAGATCTACCTTTTCTGTTTGCGATTCCTGATTGTTTTGATGCTTTGCCTTCATCCCCTCCCCACAATGGCCCAAATTAACGAATTTACAAGGATAGACTAAGGATCAAAGAAAAACAGAGACAAAGCAGAAAAAAAAATGTTAAGGAGACAGAGAACAAATGAAGGTGAAGAAACTGGAGAACTAACATTTATGGAGCCTCTTTTGTTTGCCAAGATCTTTGGTGTGTGCTTTACATTTTAAAAATGAAATGTTGGAAAGTTATCTAGTTTGTTTTTTTTACTAGTAATACATTGTAATAGCATATAATGTCTTTTTAAAAATAATAGTCTATTAACACCATTCTGTAATTCAAGTAAATCAGGAATTGGGCAAAATCCGAGAGTTTAAAATCACTTTAGATTCTATTTCGAAATGGATTGTTTTTTTAAAACTAAATTTTTTTTAAAAACTGGATGTTGAGACTCTTAAAAATGTGTAAGAAAAATCAGTGCAGTTTGAAAATGTCTTACAATTCTTTAGGTGTTTGCTTTCTCCTTCCCCCAAGCACCTTCCTCATGTCCCCGCCTCTTGTCCCTAATTCTCGAAGCCAGCCCTGTATTATCAGGTGTGGAGAGTGGAATTCAAGCCCATACGGCACAGTCTCCCTGTGCAACAGGAGAAAGTGCAGTGGGGGCTACCTTTTCGTAGCCTTCCGTTGGCCCCTTGGTAGAAAGCCAGGTTTGCTAATCGGATTAGGAGGGTGGGATAGGCAACTAGAAAAACTGATCCCTTTACTTCAGGCTGAATATGAAGCCAGAATTCCCAAGGCCTTAACCTGGCACATTTTGAAGAAGGTGGGGCTTTACATGCGTTCATATCCTGTACTGGGCCTCTTGTTGGCCACCAGACATGCTGTTAGCAAAACGACAAGCAGTACTGCGATACTCAGGCCCACGGCCACAGGGTTTTCTCTCCTGTTTCTGTCAGTGAAGCATTCATCCGCTGCAATTGAAGTCAGAGTAACAGGTGTTACAAGCTGGCCGCAATGCTGGGAATTGATTCTGCCTGCCTGCCTCAGCCGCGCAGAGAAGGAAACCCAGCGAGAGGTGGAGTGGAGCTGCTGGGCTTTGCACCTGCTGCCTCAGACACACGGATAGGTGAAAACGAGGGAAGGTCAATGCAATGATCTGAAGCATGCAGTGCTCGTGATCACTTAAGGGCTATCTTAAATTGCAGATACCCTGTCCCCACACCCAGGAAATTACGATTCAGTGCATTGGAGGTGGGGCCCAGATGATTCTGTTGTAGCTGGGAGGCAGATCCCACTTTGGGAAACATCAGTTTGGTCTAGAGAGTCAGGATCAGAACCGTAAGCCCGTGGAAGTTCTGTGGCCATGTTTTCCCAACTCTGGCAACAGAGACCTGTGCCAAATTGCATGGCCAAAGTTTTCTAGCCAGACTCTGCTTCTTAGAGGTTGCTGCTGGACAGCCTGGGGCTCCAGGTACTGGAGAAACATTTTACAGGCTCTGGGATTTTAGCTCCCTGAAATGGGTTGAGAATGTGGAAGTTTGATAATTATATGAAAAGGGGAGGAAGGGCAGGGAAAAAATGAAAAGATAAATTTTCTACATGTCCCTATGGGCACTGCTAAGAGAGGCCAGTGTATGTTGCTGAAAGGTTTTATTTCTCACCTCTGACACTACAAGGTTTCCTACCTGCTCACTTCCTGTTTCACAGAGATTCAGAGGGGGAGGAAGAGCAAGTGTATACCTTATTTTTTTGGATCACATGATGAATTACAGATGCTTTTCAAACCTTCATCATGAATTTTTAAGTTTCCCCAAATTGGAAGTTTTGAGACCAGATGACAAAGTGGGGGCCACACCTACTAAGAAATTTTAGTATTTTTGTCTTAGCACTGTGGTAAAGGTCCAAAACGGAGGCAGAGATTTGAAGACTCAGACAAAATCTACAGAAATCAGGGGATCCGAGGCCAGCAACACTTTAATCCTTCCTCTGCTCAATGCTTCCCAGCAAGTATATCAGAAAGTTTTTGTAGGCACATCTTCGACTTTATAATGGAACTCAAAGAGAAGTTGGATTCACATTACAGAAATTTAATTTACAGCTAAACTTCTAGCTAAATCTGTTTATGAAAATTGAGAGGTATACATAATGTTCTTAGTTATTATGAGAGGAATGTTTTAGAAACTGAAATTCAATTCCTGGACATATCTAGGAATCTTTATAACCCGTTTTCCCAGAAGGGAAAAAAGGGCTTTTTCAGAAAGTCACCCTGGTCTGTCCCTGGCCTTCTGCCTAGGACCTACTTCCCTCTGCAGTGGTTAGAACTCAAAGCAGAAGTTGCATAGAAACTAACACCAACTACAAAGAAGCTCTAGCCAGGGGAATTGAGCTCATAATCGAGAAGAGGGGGCCCAACAGAGTACATTTCTGTCTTGAATTATTGCAACTTTCTTTTTTCCCTCTGCAAGTGGGAAAAAATCTATTCTGAAATCTTGAATTTTAGATATTACTACTATTCAGGATCTTTAAAGTCTCCAAATATACCTGAGGAGTCAGAATATTACATACCAGGAGAATGTATCCTACTGTGGGAGAGTCGTGGACATGAACGGGTTAGTGTCTGATTTTGAGGTTGGTATTGACTCAAAGGAATGGCAGGAAGGAAAGTTGGCCAGAGAAACTTGGCCCTAAAAACTTTGTGGAACCATACTGTTGTAGGAAGCTCATGTGATTCTTGTCCCTTTTGACAGCTGCACACACAAAAAACAACTTGAAACTACCCTTGGGTCTCTGAAGTTTTTGTTTGTGACATGATGAAGACTTGACTCACCATTTCCAAAGTGGTCATCTTCGAAATCAAAGGCTTGATATTGGACATTCATTGTTTTCAGTTGAAGGTGGGTTGACAGCTGGATGCTCTGTTCACTCACACATTTGAAGGAATGCCCAACCACAGTCTCAAACATCACCACAGAACTTTTCATTCCTTGGTAAATTTTCTCTGAAAACACAAGGATGAAATATAGACACTTGGCATATATCCACTGAGTATCAACTGTTACCAGGTGGCCCATGTGCAGTTAAATGGCCTTCATTGAGATGTGGCTTTTAGGGGCTTCTGCCTTCTCTTCATGAAGACCCACTCTGGTGCTCTTTAGGGACTTTTTTCTGGTATTATGTAGTATATGGGGGCAAACTTACATAAATTAGAATGTGATAACTTTGAAATGAGAACTTTTAGGAACTTTTTCTTCAGTTGTCTTGAGTCATTGGGGGCAGAGTTGGTGGGTACTATAGTCAGTGCTTGGGGACTACAGAGACGTGCCCACAAAAACCTCAGAAATAAGAGAAGTAAGATTGCTCTCTGTGACAGTCACATGAACCCTTATTGGATCAGAATAGACATACGCAGTCACCAAGTGGAACATCTGCATGTTACCAGACTGTATTAATATAGCAAAAGGACAGGCTGATCCCATCATTAGGAGGGGCTGTTACATCCATCCATAGGGACACAGAGAAGGGAGAGGCCCATCTCTGTCCACCAGAGTGCTGTTGGGGAGTGAAAGACCTGCTCAAGGACTGGTGCTATTTTATGACAGGTACACGCTTTTCAAGGAAGCATATGCTTCAAGGCAGATGGGGTAAACATTTTAATCATATAATTAACTCCATTTGCTCTAATTCTACACTCACCCCACACCTTTCTGATTATACCTTGGCTTTTTGAATGGGAGAAAGTTCACTGGCCAGAGGACCCAACTGTCTAGTCCCCTTGGCAGTTACTGTAAGAAATAGTTGCACAATAAATGTACACGTTTACATTTTGATTTTATACGTCAGTTTCATGACCTTGGTTTAAATGTCTCCTTGAAGAGACAGACAATATGTAAGGGAGTGCTGACAGCTCCTGCGATTGAGGACCAGACTATGGACCTTCATGAATTCACCAAAGTTGTGCCTGAAAGGAATACCCGTGGGCTATTAATGAGGGAGCTTGAAAGTCTCCCTCCTTTCCTGTCTCTGTGGGTGTGTTTGCTTGTATCTAAGGTAGCCTCCCTCCCACATTAAGTGTCTGCTTGCTATGTGCCAGGAACCAAGCAAGTACTCTGTAGGCACTGTCCTGTTTAATTCTTTTTTTTTTTTAATTTTATTTATTTATCGGAGAGAGAGAGAGAGAGCACAAGAAGGGGGAGGGTCAGAGGGAGAAGCAGACTCCCCGCTGAGCAGGGAGCCGGATGTGGGACTCCAATCCAGGACCCGGTGATCATGACCTGAGCTGAAGGCAGACCCTTAACTAACTGAGCCACCCAGGCACCCCTGTCCTGTTTAATTCTCATACAATCTTTTGAGATCTGTTCTGCTGTTTCCATTTTACAGACAAGAATTCTTAATGGAGAGTCAGAGAATTCAAAACATCTGCCTAAGAGCCTACAGCTAGTAAGTGGTATTGGGACTCAAGCAGTCTGACTCTAGAGCCTGCTATCTTAACCAATACACTATTGTGTTTCCCACCCATCACTGTACTATTTACTGTAGACTCTTGCATATGTACGTGCAAATGTCCTACATGATGCATTGAATTATCCATCTACACCACTATATCATGTGTTATATCCCAGGGTGGCCTACTACAATCACTCCCACTAACATTACAACAGTCATTACCACTGTAATTACAACTAACTACTGTTACTAATGCTGCCCCCGCCACTACTGACGTGCAAATTATCATCATCGTGATTCCTATAGCTCCTACTGCTACTGCTGAGCCTGGATTTTTAGGACCTAGAATTGTCTTATCCCCTTTCTCAGCCTCTAACTTAGCTGGTCTGACTTTCCCTTCCCCTCCTCTTGAGACATTACTACCCTACTCCTGGCTAAAATTTAGGCCATGTCTTGTGATAACATTAGCTAATTTATGTTAGCATTCACAATATTTTATTCCCCAGCCTCTATGAGTACACTTGTCTAAGTGAGGTACTATATATGAAAATAAGTTGTCAACTATGACATCTTACTTACTTTTAACCAATAATCATGGGCAGCATCCTCTTGAACAATATCAATAAAATATATCTTGTATTTTAAATAGACATTTCTCCACGTTTTCATTTCTTGGCAAGTTTCTTTAGTATAGGCTCCTTAATAAGATAAGCTTAAGCCAGTCAAAAGAGAATTTTAAGAAGGAGAAAACAGACATGAAAACTCTTCGTACAGTACCTGGCACAGAGGAGGTGCCCGGCAATGGTTTGTTATCAAAGGCTGGGTTTTCCAGAGAAACATTTGAGCCCTCTGAGAAATTCCCCCAACTTGACTGGGAGCATTACTTTCCTAGATGGAAACCTTAACAGGAGTTCTCTCAACTAGCCCCACTGTGGACCATTCTCTATACAGCAACCAAACTGAATCTTTATCAATGTAAATCTGATATACCATTTCCCTACACCAAACCCTCCAATGGCATCCTTTCATACTTTAAACTCAAATCCAAAGTCCGCACCTTGCTTTACCCAGAAGCCCTACATGCTCTGGCCTGGATGCCCATCAGACCTGATCTGCTACTCTGCTCACTCTCTCGGGCACACGTGGCACTAGCCGCTCCCCGAACACATGCGCATGTTCGCTTCTAAGGACTTGTATATCTGTTGTTCCTGCCACCTGAAAAAAGCATCCCCAGACCCAGATGCCCCCAAATGGGGCTATCTCTCTGCTCAAACTTCATCTCTTCAGAGAGGCCTTCCTCCCCTAAGGGCTTCCCAAAGGCCCTACCTAAAAATATCTTTCCAGTCCTCCCCTGACCCCCAAACCTGCTTGTGTTTGCTCATAGAACTTAACACTACTTAACTGTCTATTATAATTTAATGTGCCTGTCTGTGGTCCTCTCCCCACTTCTAGAATGTAAGCTCCATGACAGCAGGGACCATGTTTGGATAATATGGATTTCTACTGCCTCTTACAGGGCTTGGCACATAGCTGGCACTATCCACATTTTTGTAGAATGAATGCATGATTCCAGGAGCTCAGAAGAGACTGCACCATCACTAGCAAATCTGTCCCAAAGTCACAAAACTCTCTAGAGTTGCTGATAATGATCTCTGACATAATGTAGTCCAGCCTCCTTCATGAGCAGATGAGCAAACAGAAGCATACAAAGATAGAGTGCATTCTCCTGGTTCTTCTCTCAGTCTGTTTCTCCAAGGCAGCATCAAAGATTAGCAAATTCAGTGGGCTGAAAAATGAGCTAACCCTAGGTACAGAGTCATTGCTGGTGGAATGGCCTTCTCTAACGACTTACCTGGATTTGAGACTGTCAAATAGACTCTCACTTCATTGATATAATACGAGTTTTCATCCTGTAAAACAGCAGCGTGTTAACCTTTGGGCAATCTGTTTTTACATTTATGATTCTGGTTTACAAACTTTGTTTAGGCAGGATTCTAGCTATTCAATCCTTGATATGGGGCGTTGGGAGTGTGTTGGTATGGAACCATAATTGTGTCTGAAAACTTCAAAAAAGTAAATATACCACACAATAAATAAATAATAAGTAATGGCTTGCTCTTGGTCCCAAATTTTTCTCCTGCATACTTGTTGCTAGAGCCTAAAAATCACATTCCACCAGTCCAAAGTCTCTTCAGTTAGGCCAAGTTTCTTTCTCTTAAAATGCATATACATCTGGAAGGTGGAGAGGTTGGAGGGGTATACATTAAGCTTTTACTAGTAATGAATATCTTAGGGTAGAGATTCAAACTGAGACCACTCGTCTTTTTTTTTATAGGAAGAACTTCAGGCGCCTGGGTGGCTCAGATGGTTGAGCGTCTGCCTTCGGCTCAGGTCATGATCCCAGGTCAGATCAAGCCCCACATCGGGCTCCTGGCTTGGCAGGGAGCCTGCTTCTCCTTCTCCCTCTGCCTCTCTTCCTGCTCATGCTCTCTCTCTCTCTGTATCTCTGTGTCTCAAATGAATAAATAAAATCTTTTTTTAAAAAAAGGAAGAACTTCAGCATTTAAAGATTTATTTATTTATTTTAGAGAGAGAGAGCAGAGGGGAGGGGCAGAGGGAGAGAGAGTCCCAAGCAGACTCCAAGCTAAGCTCGATCTCATAACCCTGAGATCAGCCTGAGTTGAAACCAAGAGTCAGTTGCTTAGCCAACTGAGCCACCCAGGCACCCTGAGACCACTCATCTTTAAGGCTACCATGGGTGGACTTCATGGGGCTCATAAACTCTCTGGGAAAAACAGTGCATGCAAAATTTTTCATGCATTTTCCTGGGGAGGGTATCAGTTGCTTTAAATAGATTAAAGGGTTCATGTCTCCAAAATGGTTAGATGGGGCCACCATAAGGGATTCTGGAAAAAAATGGTTTACTCTGAGATCACTGGGTGTTCTCTAGAAGTGGACCCAGGAGGTGTGTTCAGAAATATTAAGCAGTGTTCCACATTTTATTCAGGGATTGCCCTTTCAGAAAAACAAAACAAACCATTACAAAACAGCCCTATAACCTCCTGAGAGACTAAGGGTGTGAAACATTAAAGGGAATTGAATTGAGATATAGAAGGGTAAGTTGAAAAAGGAGATTTTGGGGTTTTTAAAAGTAGGTGATTTAGTTATTATTTGTAAACATTCATTAGAAAACTATCCACAAGTAAGAGGTGCAAAAAAATGATAGAGCAACAAAAATCAGAATCTGAAATTGAATTACCTTTAGAAGTTCCAGGTCTAGCAGTAAAGAAATTTAACAATAATAATCTTGACTATATTCAAGTACATTTGTGTATTATTTATAGGTAAAATGATGATTCCCTACACAATATAAGGGTTCTAAAAATACAAACTGCTTTAGTAAGGTAACTGCTACTGATACACTCAACTCTAGATCCTATAATTTGTTGAATAGCACCTACCACACACTGGCTCCTTACCTCATGCCAGGCACTGGAGCAGACACTTCTTTGCCATGCCTTACGTAATCCTCACAGCAACTCAGAGAAGAATTAGAGGCTCACTGACTTGCCCAAGGTCCCAGCCCTAATAGGTGGCAGGGGAAGATATGACCCCAAGCTTCTTGTTTCCACGTCTAGCATTTAACTTCTCTTATATCCAGTCTAGACCAGGCATTGCTCTAGGTCCTAGATGAGGAATAAGACCTGGCTCCTTTCTTCTTGGGTCTCAAAGGCAAGGTGAACAATATGCTTGGACCATCCATTTGATTTAGAGAGAACATCTGTGACCCAGGCCCTTCTTCGGTCGTTTTCACAAACCATTTATTCAGGTTATTCTTTATTTGGGGTCCTTTTTAGCATATAAGAGACCTAGACTTCAGGGCCCTAGGTCACTGATACAAGACCCCTGCCCTATCCTAAGAGCAGAAAGGATCCACTGATGGGATTTAAGCAGGACAGTGACATGAGCATGACTTGGTTTTTTGAAATTACATGGGTTGCAGTGTGAGATTGCTTTAAGGAACAGCAGGAGAACAGTGATAAGGCCAGCTCTGAGCTCCATAGGGTACCTCCTGGAATCTTCCCCTTCCTGTGGCATCTCCTTGATCTATCCTCACATAAGGAAAGGCTTTGTATTTCTACAAAGGCTTCACAGTTTACTAAGTGCATGCTGTCACCTACATTGCCTCCTTTGATCCTCAGAACAGCCCCCTGAGACAGAATAAATATTATCACCCCATTTTGCAGCTGAGAACAAAGAGGCTCAGAGGATTTAGGCATCTACCTCTAATTCACATTGTTTGTAGGTGACACAAAGCAAAATCTGGTCTACAGGATCCTGCCCTACATTTACCTCCATGGGATATGTGGATATGGACAAAAAATTCATTGTGCAAGAACTTTCTTTCACATTTCCCGAAATGCAGTTGTCCATATTTAACCATCTATCGGAAACAGAACCAGCTACACAATTTGTGGGGCCTGATATAAAACCCAAATGTAGGATTTCTTTTCTTTTTTTAAAGATTTTATTTATTTATTTGCCAGAGAGAGAGAGTGAGCGGGAACACAAGCAGGGGGAACGGGAGAGGGAGAAGCAGGCTCCCTGCTGAGCAAGGAGCCCGATGCAGGACTCGATCCCAGGACTCTGGCATCATGACCTGAGCCAAAGGCAGACGTTTAACCGACTGAGCCACCCAGGCGTCCCCCAAATGTAGAATTTCTTGTTCAAAAATCATTGAAGAATTTCAAGAGGTGACAGCAAAGCTTAAACCAAGCATGGGTCTGGCTGACTGCACAAGTCACATGCTCATGAAGCCAGCCCTGATAGGAAGGGCCATTCCTACTCCCCAAGAACTAGTACTGTCTAGGGTAATGCCAAAAGTGAGGCCTTCCAAAGCAGATGGTAGAGTGCTCACATTCACTGTGAGTTCACCTTTTTAAAGATTTTAAAAATTTATTTATTTGAAAGAGAGAAGGGGAGAGAATGAACAGGGGGAGTGGCAGAGGGAGAGGGAGAAGCGGGCTCCCCATTGAGCAGGGAGCCCGACTCAGGGCTCCATCCCAGGACACTGGGATCATGACCGGAGCTGAAGGCAGACACTTAACCGACTGAGTCACCCAGGTGCCCCGCTGTGAGTTCACCTTAATGACATAACAGGACAGAGTCCGGAGCTCATATCCAGGTTTCCTTCTATTAGCCAAATGTTTCCTGGGCCTGAACTTATGTCCATGGTTAGGATAAAGCAAAAGCATTTGTTAGGTGAACTCAAGTAAACAAAAGCACAGACAGATGTTTAGTTTCCTTGAGATTCCAAATTTTATATAATTTATGCTACTGATACCAAATGAGTCTTATCTAGACAATTGTGCCCACTTTTTCTGTAGAGTTTTGGAATAGAAATGGAAATAGGAGAATAGAAATAAAAATGTCTTTTTCTTTTTAAGTAATCTCTACACCCAATGTGGGGCTTGAACTCACAACCCCAAGATCAAGCGTCACACACTCCACAGACTGAGCCAGCCAGGCACTCCGAAATTGTCTTTTATTTAAACTAGAACAAAGCATTTCTTTTTCGACTCAGGAGTTCAGAATTTGGCATAATTTGAATGGTAGTAGGGCTGAAGTTTATTCTATAAAGGGGGTTGGCAAGCTTGTTTATGTGAAGAGCCGGATGGTAAATATTTTAGGCTTCATGGCTCTGTGTAGCTGACACTCAATTCTGTCATTGTAGCACAGAAGCAGCCATAGACCAACACATACACAAGAGAGTGTGGCCACCTTCCAGAAAGCTTCATTTATGGACACTGAAATTTGAATTTCACATGATTTCCAGGCTCCACACAATTTCCTCCACCCCCTACCCGCCATTTAAAAAGGTAAAAGCCATTCTTAGGCTGAAGACCGTACATTTTTTGGTGGCAGCCTGAATTTGGTCTGGGGGCCACAGCTTGTCAACTCCTGGTCCTCACCATCAATGAAAAACCAAGTTGCAGGACAAATCACTTGATTAAAACAAAAGCAAAAATAAACTCCTGGGACTTCATCAAGATAAAAAGCTTCTGCACAGCAAAGGAAACAATCAACAAAACTACAAGGCAATCTACAGACTGGAAGAAGATATTTGCAAATGACATATCAGATAAGGAGCTAGTATCTAAAATCTATAAAAAACTTATCAAACCCAACACCCAAAATAACAAAAAATCCAGTCAAGAAATGGACAGAAGACATGAACAGACATTTCTCCAAAGAAGACATCCAAATGGCCAACAGACACATGAGCACTTTTGCTCAACATCACTTCTCATCAGGGAAATACAAATCAAAACCACAATGAGATACCATCTCACACTGATCAGAAAGGCTAAAATTAACATCAGGAAACAACAGGTGTTGGAGAGGATGTGGAGAAAGGGGAACCCTCTTACGCTGTTGGTGGGAATGCAAGCTGGTGTAGCCACTCTGGAAAACAGTATTGAGGTTCCTCAAAAAGTTGAAAATAGAGCTACCCTATGACCCAGCAATTGTACTACTAGGTATTTATCCAAAGGATACAAACATAGTGACCCGAAGGGCACCTGCATCCCAATGTTTATAGCAGCAATGTCCACAATAGCCAAACTGTGGAAAGAGCCCAGATGTCCACTGACAGATGAATGGATAAAGAAGATGTGGTATATATACACGATGGAATACTACTCAGCCATCAAAAAGAATGAAATCTTGCCATTTGCAATGACATGGATGGAACTAGAGGGTATTATGCTGAGCGAGATAAGTCAGTCAGAAAAAGACAAATACCATATGCTTTCACTCATATGTGGAATTTAAGAAATAAAACATATGAACATAGGGGAAGGGAAGGAAAAATAAAATAAGATAAAAATCGGGAGGTAAACCATAAGAG